GGACATTTTTTGCTATGTTCCAGCAAGATGCCCCATGTCAGGGAAGCTTTGGGAAATCTTTGTGGAATCTTGTGGAATCTTTGGATTGTTCTGAATAGGGTCATCAGGTTTCCTAGTAAGAAATCAAATCATGGATTGCAAAACACAGTCCTGAGAATTCTTCCAGGAGCCACCTGGTGGCAGAGTGGGTTATGCGCTGGGCTAACTGCCAGGTCGGCAGTTGGGAACCACCAGCCGCTCCTCTGGAGAAAGATGAGGCTTTCTCCTCTGGTAAAGAGTTCCAGTCTCCGAAGCCCACAGAGGCAGTTCGACTGTCTTACAGTGTCGCCTCGAGTCAGAGCGGACTTGATAGCAGTGGACTTGGAGTTTTAGAAGAGTGCTTCTGGATTTGGGTCCAAGTCAGACCTCGTGTTAATTTTCTCCTGCTACTGTTGCAGATCATCACAAAGTTGGCTTGAAACCTTCTCTCACGTGTCAGCAGATTGCACATCCAGCATGGGTCTCCCAGGGCAAAAGTCCACTGAGGAGATGCCAGCTCTGGCCTCATCTTCCTGCCTCGGAGTGGCTGGTGGTTTCAAACTGCTGACCTTGGATTGCAGCCCAATGCATAGCCACGGTGCCCCCAGGGCTCCTGGCTAAAATCCAGATGTTGGCTGGCCTGTGTTCCTCTGGGAACGCCCTTGGGTGGTGTCCCGGCAATTAGAAGGCGGGCAACTTGGGTGGGCTGCCTAGTGGCAGCATTTCCCACAGCAGACGTGGCACCCAGTTAGTAGAAGCATACCCATGGCAGGTTTTGAAATCGGTGCCGGCAACGGAAGACCCAGGTTTCCCAGTTTGTAAGTAAGAGGCTGCATTTTTGCAGCAAGCGGGCAGCCAATGGAAGCGTGTTATTTCTGCTTCCTCATCTTCTTCCTCTGTAGTTCAGCTCCGTAAGCTGCTGACATTCATTCAGCAGGGTTCTTTCTCCCGACAGCACTCAACCTCAACAGAAAAATGTTGTTGTAGTTGTTTGGGTCCGTGGTGTTGACTGTGACCCCAGGTGGCCCACCTCGGTTACAGAGCAGCACAGGGCTTTCGTGGTTGTAATCTTCATCCGAGCAGATCGCCCCCTCTTTTCTTCCGTGGAGCCGCTTTGTGGGTTCGAACCACTGACCTTTCAGCTAGCAACCAAGTGCTTACCTGTTCGGCTAACAGAGCTCCTTGTGTATTGAAAAACAACAACAAAACCTTGTGTGCATCAGATTTTTACTGTATTGCCCATTGAGCTATTGGTATTCTTTGAAATCGTCATCGCACATAGTGAAAATGGGTGTCCTCATTTTTCAACCCATTTCACATGTTCAGCTAGTCAAGGCACAGGAACTGCGTCTGCCCATGGAGCTCCCCCTGGGGCCGACGGGGACAGCATCAGGGGCCCCCGGGAAATGGAGTCTGTGCTTTCCATTCGGTTCAACGTTGCTTCCTCTGCTTCTGGGGTCTTGGATCAGCGCCCTGACCTCCGGAGCCTCAACTCCATTTTCTGTGAAATGGGGAAAACCAAGGGCTCTTCCTCACGGATCTGTTGTGAGGCTCCGGTGAGCTTTGGACACAGAATGAGGAGTACAGTCTAATAGTGCCTGCCAGCCTGCCTCCTGATCCCACTCTGTCCTGACTCCCCAGATCCGAAATCAGTGCTTCTTTACCTCCAGCAGGAAATGCCCACTTAAACCATATTTTCCCAAGGTTAATTTGCTGTTTAAGACAATTTGCCATGGA